GCATAAACAAGAATCTGCTAAAGAGAGGACAGATCTGAAGCTGGCCCCATGTATAAAGTGCCACCACAGGATGTGGCATTTTAGTGCTGCCCTCAAAAGTTTATAGTCTGAAGCATACAAAACACATTGATGATGAGAGAAGACAGCAAGAGATATGAAACAACATGGATTGGGTTTAGTGGGTTTTATTTTAATTGAATAAAGTATCCCAAATTCCCTCCTAACTGGGCACGGTTACATAAGAAGTTACTGTGCATTCATTTAGCACTTTGTATAATTAAGTACTAAATAAATGTGCAGTAACCAGAGTTTGCTGTGATGCGCTACTGCACAGTATTATTCGGTTACTGCGCAGTTAGCGTCTTGTGTAGACATGCCCACTACTAACAACTACTATTACTACCTAGCTGGATAATTTCTTGTAAACTTCACAAGAGAAGGGAGTCTGAAAGGGGTATTAAAACAAGGAGAAGAAAATAAGTACAAAAGGCTGTTCCACGCACCATGGGTAGCATAAAAGAAACAGGGAGATGACTGGGAGAGAACCAGATTAATAAAATGTTACAATCAAGCCTAGTCTTGCTCTTCACATTGACAGGTTGTGATAGGACAAAACTATTGAATCCCACATGCGGCTAGGCTCTCTAGATCTCAGTACTGACTAGAGCTGTTTGGGAAATTTTAATTGAAAGTGTTTTGTAAAAATATCATGTACTCAAAACTTAAGACGCACAAGAGACCTACCTCAGAACAGCCCAATGGCTAGGGCGCACATCTTTGATGTGGGAGACTCAGCTGCAAAATTTCAAGCTCCTGATTAAAAACAAGAAACCTAGGTCTCCCATGTCCCAGACCAAGCATCTTAGCTATTGGGATACTGACTATTTAGAAGAGTGTTGGTGCTTCTCTTGCTTACGTTTCCCTCCACACCCCCCAAACCTCAAAAGGCCCAATTTTTATTACACAACATAACAAAAATAATTTTCACTACCTCTCAATTCTTCATGCAGCAAAAGTCTCGTATCCCAGTCATCCCTGATAGAGACTGGTCACTTTTCCTAACTCTGAATCTCTCAAGCACTCTCAGAAACAGATCTATGTCTGACACCTTTCTTGGTCACAGGCATCTCATGATCTATCCGCTTAGACCCCAAGTCCCTCAGATATCTGGGTTTGGTTAAAGTCCAAAAGGACTGCCTTGTCTAAGGACTTCTTGACTTTGCCACCTTACATCTAGAAGAAAGTCTTCCTTCACAGAACCAGTATCTAGAAATAAATTCTCTGCTCTAGGTTTTTTTTTGGCTAAGTTTAATTTCATCCCCACTTCCCCAAAATCCCCAAACCAAACAGACACAGGCACACAGAGAGTTTCAGCTGACCTGGAACTATTTTCAAAATTTAGACTGAACTGACAGACTCAGCCACCATTCAAAAATTGGTGGCAATGGTGAATGTTTCAGTTTGCTTAACATTCTTTAAAAATACCTATTTTGGGTTGAATTGAAAAAAAAGGCTTTTTTGACATTCCAGTTTAACTGAACAGGAAAAAAAAATCATTTTTTGTGCAATTCTGTTACTCAGGTGGCTCTGAAATATCTCATGCAACATTCTCATTAGCAAACTAAGGAACACAGACTGGATGAAAATACTGTAAGGTAGACACATAACTGTTTGGATCACTGTTCTCAGTTAGTAGTCCTCAATGGCTGAATGTTTAGTTGGGAGATAGTATCAAGTGGGGTTCCCAAAGAGTCTGTCCTAGATCTGGTATTAAGATATTCAGTAATTTGGATAAATGGGACTGAGTACACATTTAGCAAATTTGTGGATGACACCATGTTGGGTGGAGTTGAAGACATTCTGGGAGCAAGGGGTAGGATCCAAAATGACCTGGATAGACTGGAAAAATGGTCTGCAATCAACCACATGAAATTCAACAAGGACAAGTGTTAAGTTCTGTGCTTGGGATGGAATAATTGCATGCACAAATATGGATGGGGGAAATGTCCATCTAGACTGCAGTACTACACAGAGGAGGACCTGGCAGTTACAGTAGACCATAAACTGAATAAGCCAACAGTGTGCTCTTGTTGCCAAAAAAGTCAGAAATATACCAGGTTGTATTAACAGGACTGTCACTTGCAAACTAGAGGAAGTGATTCTTCTGCACTAGAGTATAGGTCCATTATTTCACCCCATGTTTTAAAAAAAGATGTGGACAGATTAGAAAGAGTTCAGCCCAAAGTGATAAAAATGATTACAGGCTTGGGAAGCAAGATTTGTGAAGAAAGGCTGGAAGAACTAAGGCTATTTAGTTTAGATGACTGAGGGAGAATTTGATAATGGTCTTCAAATACCTTCAGTGGTAGGTATCTGAGACCTTCAAATGGTCTTCAGATGGGCTTTTCTCTGTGGTTGTAGGGGAGCAATGGCCTCAAGCTGCAGCAGAGGAAATTTAGTCTGTAGATTAGGAGGAACCTTCTGACTATGATGGTCAAGTATTGGAACAGACTACCCTTGGAATCTCCATTCTTGGAGAAAAAGCATATTGGACAGACACTTGGTTGCAATGGTTTTGTTTGGGATGGTTCTGCCTTGAGCAGAGGATGGACTAGATAACCTCGGGAGGTCCCTTCCAGCCCTATGATCCTCAACTGGGAAACTGCCATGGGTTTAAACAATGGATTCCAGCTCCTTCCCTTTAGACTGGTTTTTATGTAAAAAGGGCACCAAACCTACTGGTTTCTGAGACGGTCCCATTAAGAAGAGATCTTTAACGTTGAAGACCCTTTTTGCTGTCACAGTTCGTCTGTCTGCTACACAATGGATACTCTAATCCAAAAGCATGGTTAGACACAAATGATAAAAAACAAATTAAATTCACATTTTGGAGAAAGGCATCCAGACAGTCACAGTGGCAATTAGGCTTGGGTCAGTGATGGAACACAAGGTTAGTCAGCTAAGATAAATAGGAAGTGTGGAAAAAAGTTGAACAAGAGGCACCAATTCTACTCCTCAAGGTTAAGGAACTTGGCTGGGATAAAGAAAACCTGAGTTGAAATTCCTTTTCAGGCATGGAAGGGATTCAAATGGGGGAGTCATTTAATTGAATCCATTGGCCAGTAAAGTGATTCTGGCAGATACTTCTACTCCCTTGGATTCGAAGGGATAACAAAGGAGAAAGTCATGATTATTGAAGAACTGAGAAAAGGCTTTGGATCATAGTTTCCAAGACGTTATATCTTAGAAATGTGATGAAAGAAGCAGCAACATGGTCTGGATATGAAAACCAAGTGAGAGGAAAAAAGCAAAGATGCCAGCAACTTTCAGGCTTGTGGAAAAGGAAATTTGACACTGGAAAACAAGAGAAAGAGAACAGAACTGGGCAAGTTTTGGACAAAAAAGAAGAAGCTCACTTGGACCCTATTAAGTTTAACTGAGGGATTTTTTTTCTTTCGTATCCTCAAGCTCACCTAAAATATCAACTCTATGGCACAGGCACAACCTCCAAAGGCGTACAAGGTTTAGAAGGATGCATCTTAGTTGGAAACCTCCAATCACTACTGTAATGCAATAACAGGTATTAGAGGGGGAGATATCAGAGACACATACAAATATGGGATTGATTACAGAGGAAAGGAGATCTGAATCAATTATTGGAAGACCCTGAAACTGCATGCACAGATAAGATCCATTTTATAGCCTTATTTTGGGGTGAAGCAAAATTGGGTTAGATGATGCCCTAACTTTTCACTCTGTGAACTGGATGGATAGTTCCAGGTTTGTCTGTCGACTGGATCTGCCTGATGGGCTCAATTTGACATGCAGGACTGGCACAGTGGGGCCTGATCTGGCTGAGGGATGATGAGCAACCCAACCCTGATCTGCCTTGCCATGGGGGAAGAGGATGGGAGGAGGAGCAGGAAGTGGTTTGGTCCCCATCCAGAAGCATGGGGGACATGCCTCGTCTCTAATCCCGCTGTGCAGCAAAAGGCCCAGGCAGGGCTGGATCTGGCTGTGTGTAGCTTCAAGCTCTCCCTAACTACCAATTTTTTCTGGCCTGTGGGGTTCCCCACAGGCCAGATGCCATAGCTCGGCAGGCTCGATTTGGCCTGTGGGCTAGAGGTTGAGCATCCCTACATTAGAGAAAGGGTAATTTAAGGGACTAAACCCACTTCTACAGAATCCCTCTCCAGTTCTGCAAGAGGAAAATGAGTGAGGGAGTATCTTCACTGTCAGAATCAGCTCAGGGAAATACTTAGCATTCCTTGGCTGATGTGTAAAAAGAAATGGCTCCAGTTTGTAATTTATTATATTTCTGGTTATGAATATTTTGAATGGGTAGAAATTATGCACCCTATTTAAACATATTACAACTCATTTGTATAAGTGATTTATTTGTATCTATGTTTTTTTTAAAGTGCATTTTAATTGCTCGCTTCATTTATATATTGTGAATGAAAATTATATTGATGAACCAAAAATCTTACTTTTATGCTTGTTACACCGCAAAATGAGAAGAAAGATTAGCAAACAGCAGTGTGTTGTGGATACATGGTAATGTACTTTAACTAAAATATATGTATGATTTATATCCATTCTATCATTTAAATTAGCTAGTTAATGATGCATAGATTCTATCTTTTATCCATGCCCCAACACTATTTAGTTCAATTCAAAGTGGAATCAGAACTACTTCGTCTCATATACTCTGGAAGATACTATAACTCCTTCCTCTAACCTTAGTAATGAAGGTTTGCTAGGCAGACACTCCCTATGCCTGAAGAAGGGTGATTGTGCCCAAAAGCTTCCAAAGAACTTTTTCCCAAGTACTCAGTTGGTCTAAAAGATATCACATCTACCCAAAGAACCTTGCCCGCCTAGGGCTTCCCAAACCTTTATCAAGTACTCACATTATACCTCATAAGAAACAGGTCAGCTACCTTGAATCTTTATTTGATTTCTTACAGAGGATCAAATTGCAGATGATCAAATTGCGCGTTGGTATGCCTGGCTGTTAAATAACAAGTGGGCCACAAAGTCAAAATCTCTATGCTTCGAGATCTTCATTTTTCAGTCAAATATGTAATCCTGAAATCGAATGCTTGTCTAGAGCTCCTGTTTTCTACCACAAATAACTCTGTCAGTTGTATGAAATCCAGTGTTGCTGCCAAGAAAGATATTTAAAATCTCACATTCAAAGGGACTACAGAGATACTGGGGAACATTTTACATCCAATCACAGAAACAGTCCATGTAATATTTGCCCAGTCTATAAAATAGGCTACCCACACATTGTACAGTGCTGGAAACTCTCTAGTGGCTGGAAACCCTTGTATACTGACACATGCTATAAAAGCTCCTTTCTTAACTAAACTGATTATATTTCTAAGATAAAAAAGCATCACACACATCACCTCTTCTGTTAAAATCACATTGAAAGATCATAGTTAAAAGAAAAATAGATGACCTTCCCAATAATTAGATTTTATACATGGAAAAAGGATAAATTTGTTATAATTTTCCAGGTACAGAATCTAATTAGTGGAGGTTTGCCTTGAATTCCCCCCTCCCCCACTGCTACAGTAGGGAAAATAAGTCTTGGAGGAGGGATCAGTTATCTCCCTTGCCCTCTGCTCCACCCCCGCTGCTTCTCCCTGCAGCCATTTCCCCCCCTCTCCTTACTGTCAGACCCTGCTCACCCCGAGCACATGTAAGGGAGAAGAAAATTTGAAAACACTGACCTTGTAATTAAACATAGCTGTAGTAATTTGCATATACTACCCAACAGACTTAGTTAATCTAGAATTGGTGCATGTTTCTTTTTAAACTGCTGCAAGTTTTAGCATAGATTCATAGATTCATAGATGTTAGGGTCGGAAGGGACCTCAATAGATCATCGAGTCCGACCCCCTGCATAAGCAGGAAAGAGTCTAGATGACCCCAGCTAGATACTCATCTAACCTCCTCTTGAAGACCCCCAGGGTAGGGGAGAGCACCACCTCCCTTGGGAGCCCGTTCCAGACCTTGGCCACTCTAACTGTGAAGAAGTTCTTCCTAATGTCCAATCTAAATCTGCTCTCTGCTAGCTTGTGGCCATTATTTCTTGTAAATAAAGAAAGATACTCCATAAGAAACCTTTTGCATCTACTAATGTATAGTAGAAACTGTGCATGATATTAGTGCAAACCCAAAAAGGTCATGATTTACCATATATGTCATTTGGCTGACCCCAACCAACCAGCAGTGGACAGCATTTAAAGCCACGGTGACTCCACAGCTCAGCACTGCTCAGTATGGATGTGTATTCCAGACACCCTCCACAAAGGATCCATGTGCTAATTAGTCTCCTACTCATGACTAGAACTGGGTGTTCTTGTCACAAGTCCTGGGATCCTTTAAAAATGTATATGCAGAAGAGGCACAGGGAACCTGTCCGGGTTCTCCTCACGTTAATCATATGTGGAGCCACGTTAATCATATGTGACAGGCTGAGAGAGGGGCAACAGCCCTGAGTGAACTGTCTGGGCGCCCATTCGGTGATGTCTGCCAGGTATTTAAGGCTGCTGAAGAAACAGGAATCATTGGAAATGGGGAAAAAAGATACAGCTCAGTATAAATGTATGCAATGTGGTAGCTCACTGTGACTTGAAAGAGTTGGCACTGAGGAGCACTGTGCTTAATGGACACTGCCATACACTGTACAGTAAAAGCTCTGTTATTAAGCATGAGTGGGGGTGCCAGTAATCTAAAACTGCCGATTACCTGAGGCAGGGGTTTTCGGCTGGACATGGAACAGAGGAAGGGGGTGGGGGCAGGGGGAGTGGCAGTGGCAGCCACACGCGGAGTAGGGGTCGTGGCGACGGCCACATGCGGAGTGGTGACAACACAGGGTGTTATAGTAACACTCAGTGTTAGCTGCATTTAGTCAACTTCATAGTTGATTTCCATTACTGAGCGCATGCTGTTTTTGGCAGCAGTTTAATGAGGCAATGTATTTAATGAGGTTTCCTTGTATGCAAAAGAAAGATGAGGGACTTCTCCCTCCATGCTGATTGGAAAAACAACCCATCTTGAATTTGAGTAAACATGGTACTAATTTAAAAAAATTTCAAAATATAATCTATTCTCAATTAGTTTAAAGATTAATTTAAGGGTTTTTTATTCATATACTATTTTGCTTTAATCAGTGACAAACTGCTTGGAACTCTAGGATACATTTAGTATAGTGATGCTCAAGATTTTGGCCCTTTGACCAGATGAGTGGCATGGGGCTGGTCTGTGGGCAAGATCCCACATGGGGTGTGCGCGCCAGGTTGGGCCTCATACACCCAGATCAGACCCACCTCATACACTTGTGCCATCTTGGCCAGGCCCTATGAGCCTGGATTATGTCCAGATTAGACTGTGTGCCTGATCTAGTGCGCAGGGCCATACTATCTGGTCCATGGGGGCTTCTCATGGGTTTGAAATTAGGCAATCCAGCAGCAATTAACACTGCCCTCTCCCCACCTGCCAATATTTCAAAACCATAGAGAGCCTGTGGGATGGCTAACATGGCTCTGTGGGCTAGATCTGGCCTGCAAGCCAAGCACCCTTGATTTAATAGAACAAAAGTAGGTTGTAATTTACTGCATGTTGTATTTGGCATTATACTTTTGCTTTCTTCCCGGTTAACAATTTGTTATATTGAAGCATTATGGCAGCAGCGTTATACTTAGTGCAAACTTTATTTTTTCCTCCCCCTTTTAATCTTTCTTTACCACCTATTCCCTTACTCATGTACAATGTTTATTTCTCCTGCAAGTTTAGCCTTTTGATAACATAGTGAATGGGTCTAGGAAAGAAAGGCAAAGAAGCAATATCTTCTATTCCACAAATTTCTTTCCTTATTGTGCATGACTGTCAATGATAAGCCATCCATTTCCTGTGAGAACTGCACATACTGCTATATCTCTTGAACTAATGCTATATTACTGTAGTGGATTACATGTACAGTACCACCTGTCTAATATATTAAGAATTTTGTTATCCTTTTTTTGTAATATAAGCAATGTATGAGCATTTTGGGACAGGCATGTATTAATTTTTTTCTAGGAAACAGCTAAAAGCTTACTCCATTTAAATAATGGATGATAATTTGGGTCCATTACTTGAACACAGGAAATTTCTTCAGCAAATAAGACAACTAGATTTTTCTCTTTGAAACATTCACAGCAGAGATAAAGAGTATTATATAAGTCAACTGCCTTACCTTTTCGACCAGGGTATACATGAGGATAATACTCATAGTAGAGATCAGGTTGGTCTAGGTTTCCAAATGGTTCAAACTCCATTTCTGCATTTTGGAAGAGATTTAACTTCACCAACAGTGCCAGTCTCACAAACCACAGCTAAAAAGGCAAAGCACAGAAAAACACCAGGTCATGTAACAGTTTCTCAAAAATTACTTTTAGGTTTTTAATCCAATGCCTGAAATAATTAAACAGTTAGTCTTAAGACTCATTCATGAAAATAAGTAATTAAAGTCACAGGCTTGTCACTGGAGCAACTTAAAAAAAACAAAATGGTAAAATTGAGGAAAATTATATTTAGGTCAGTTGGGAAGCACTGGGCCTTAAAGCCAGCTCAAAATATATAAAAGCGTAATATCAAGATAAAGTGGCATTTTAAAAGTAAAATTTACTTTTATGCAATGGAATGGGAGAAAGTATGACACTAAGATATCACTATGATGAGGGCTGGACTAGATGACTGCAGGAGGTCCCTTTCAGCCCTACTATTCTGAAATATACAGTATGATTTCTGACTCATGTACCCTGAATTGTACTCAGCTGTTAAATTTATAGCCCTAGTTAGTAGGTGGAATGAGAGCCGGTTTGTGGTAAAAAATTGACTATTCTAGGATGAAATATTTCTAGCGTAGGGATGACCAACCTACAGCCTATGCACTGGATTTGGCTCACAAAGAGGTCCAATCCACCACAGTGGATTGGTGGCATGGAGTTGTGCCATGCTGCTCATCCCCTCTATAGCACTGCTCTTTGTTGAGGAGCCTGGTGCTTCATCACCCCTGTGCTTCCTTTGCTGGAGAAGGAAAGTGCGGATGTGCTGGAACACACCGAGTGTAGGCAGCTGGGGTCAGTGGGGAAGAGATCAGTTGGAGGCTTCCAGCCTGCAGCCATGGCCAGGTCACAAGGTGTGGCCTGCACCAGCAAAAGGCTACAGACCCCTGGTTTTGGAGAGAGGATACATTACATATTAAAGTAGAGTAACTTACTTATTAATTTAAATTATTATACATTTTTCAACAGGTATCTTTTCTCTGTGTTGGAGTGAGCTACTACAGTGGTGCCCAACCTTTTGTCCCACACGCCAGATGGACAGAGCCCAGTCCGTCTGTGGGCCAGATCCAGAGAGTGGGATAGTGGGGCCTGATCCAGACATGCAGGGGGGAGGATGGAAGCCTGGCTCTGACCTGGCTGAGTGGGTGGGCTTGACCCAGGCCTGACTTAGGAGTGTTGTGGGGGATAGAGTACATGTGGCCTGGTTCCTCCTTTACCACCAAATTTTCCAATGTGTGAAAAGCCACAGGGGCCAGATGCCATGGCTCTGTGGGCCACGTTTGACCTGTGGGCTGAGCACCCCTGATCTATGAGGTTATAAGCCTGTGAGTCACGTGTTTGCTCTATTTTCACTGTGTAATGAGAGACAGTTAGCCACATTAGTCTGAAGTTAGGCAAAAAGCAGGGCACAGCAGGCTAATTCATTCAGAAAGGCATAAGCTTTCACAGCTGATAGCTAAAAGTGCACCGATGCATCTGTCCATATTGTATTGGCACCGATAAAAGGAAAATTTACATTGGCAATTGGCTTTTTTTGGCTGATGTGGCCGATAACGTTGCTGATAAATACTGTATGCTTGTGCGTACCTGAAGCATGCACATGGCCAGTAAGTCTGTTGGGTGGGAAGGAGATGGAGGCGGGAGGGAGGGGGCAGATCAAGGCCCCTGTAGTAAGGAAGGGAGTGGGGCTGGGGCTGCCCAGCCAGGGCGGGGTGTGGGAAGGAGCCGCAAGCAGTTTGTCCAGGGGGGTGTGGGAAGCAGGGGGGGGGGGGTGATCCCACCACTAAGCGCACCCCTAGGAGAGCCATGGGGGGGGGGTGTCCCCCAGATCTGTGTACAGGGTAAGGGTGGGTTGCCGTTGCTGCATGCCCCAAGCACAGGCTTGGCCCAAACCCCCGTCGGGAAGAGCCCAACACTGCCCCCAGCCCCAGCCTGCAATGGTAGCTTGCCCTCACCCCACGCACAGATCCTGGGGGCACATGTCTCCCATGGCTCCCTAGGGGGTGCACATAGCAGCAGGATCTACCCCCACCTCCCCGCACCCCCCAGATGAGCCACTTGTGGCTCCATCTCTCATTTCACCCTGGCTGGGCAGTGCCTATGCCTGTCCCTGCCCCAGCCTCCCTCCCTCCCTCACTGCAGGGGCCTCAATCTATTCCCCCATCAAAACAGATTTACCAGCCGGACGCTGCTCTCCTACCTGCTGGGCTTCATATCAGCAATTGGATCAGTATCGTCTGATACAGCTCGTTAATAATCAGCCATCTGTATCTGTCCAAAAGATCTTTATTGGTGCACCCCTACTGACAGCCTACTGTGGACTACTAGTCCATTCCAAGCATCAATAAGATGAAGTAGGCTTTTTCCTGTGATGCTTATGCCTTTCTGAATGAGTTAGTGTCTAAGATGCTATCTTACCATGCATTTGCTCTGTAATAAAGTTAATTTACTAGACAGTAAATGTGTTGTCACCCCATACTCCACCACAGTATCTTTTACAGAATGATCTTGAGATGGGATCTGATCATGAGCAAGTGTCTTCCCTGACTGATATTCTTGGAAGAATGGGACCTTAAACATCATGTCTGAATGCAAAGTGATTGTACCTGCAAAGAATCTGTTGTATGATTAGTAGGCAGTCCATTTTTGCCATAGCCTTGGCCATGGGCAGTAAGAAGTCGTCCACATAGGTCAACAGCTGCCCTCCAGTTTTTGCTGTTCTGTGAAAAAGAATGGAATAAGTTACAAATAAATGAAGCTACTAAAATGCACAGCTGCTTATTTTGCTTGAAGCAGCTACATCTAGCCATTAGTAATAATGACAAGGTCAGGAAAGCTGGCCAGTAAGAAGTAGAATGTCATTTGTCAAAGCTGCATGTGTAATTAGGCAAAAAGCGAAGTCAAGCATGAGATACAGTTTAAGATTACAAGTTCACAAAAACAAAAGTATACACAGCATCCCAGGGGTTTTCCATTAAAAGCATCCATCATATTTCTTAATCCACTAATAATACTCAACACTTTTTGCCATTTCAAAAGAAGGATTTTACCCAAAGAACTCTAATATAATGAAGTAGGTAGGGCCTAACTCTATTCCCACTGATCTGAATAGGGCAGGATTAAAAAAAATGAAGTTCATTCAATAATGCTGTTGAATTAACGGAACAAGCTGAAGACAATCATTAAGAATGAGGGATGAGAAAAAAGTTTAAGACGTATAAAGTAATATTAAAATATGTAATTGTAGATTTTTAAACAAAAGGTAACTTTTGAATTTTCCATTTACCAGTCTCTCTAGTGGTAACAACAAGGGCACTTCAGTAGAGAAATAGACTGTACAACCGAAAGAGCTTCCAAATACCCTGCAGTAACCTACTACAATACAAAAAGAAAACTCCTTGGTGGTCATCTACTATCCCACACTTGAACCGATCAGAATCACCAACCAACTATGGACTATACCTGACAAAGATCAAACCCCAAGAGAAATATTCCCAGACCCTTAACTCTTGGTTTTCAAAAAGTCCCTAACCTTGTCCAACACATCATCAGAAACAAACTTGCCATTACCCATGAAACACCAAGCAGTACACAGCCCTGCCTTGGCAAGAAATGATTAACCTGTCAGCACATCTCCACTGCCACTACTATCAACACCTCCCACAAAAACCCATCAAAAACCATGATTCTTACACATGCCTTCCCAAAATGTGATACACCTGATCCGATGAACTAAGTGTCCTCATAGCAATTACCTGGGTGCAACTAAACAGCAGCTACCTACCAGAACGGACGCTCACAGAAAAATATAAAGATGCTTGAGGTTAACGCAAGCCAAATTCATCCAACAATAAGAAGACAATTTATGTTAATTTACTGGGAGAGTAAAAATCAATTCCAGGGACATCCAATGATTTCAGGGAAGGGCCAGGCCACCCAAATGTCTATCAGATAAAACCAGATGCACATACAGGAAGTCCTCGACTTAAGATGTTTTGAGTTACAATGAATGGCATTTAGGACATTTATACACTGACACCTTGTTTCAACTTTGACATCAGTTTCGACTTTACAACGCTTTATTTTGATGTGATGCTATGTCAGCGAACAAGTTCGCTGTGTTGTCCATCTCCCTGGAGAACATCTGTCCAAACTTCCTCGGACACTTCCTTTAAGAAAGCAGACAAGATTCCAGAAAAACCTGCAGCCAAGACTCCTGAGAAGACTCCAGCCAAGAACCCTTCAAAAAGTCCAGCAAAGTCACCTCAAAGAAGTCCTTATCAATATGATTTCTACCAAATCAATATGATTGCTATTTACAATATAAATACATTAATGTAGCTATATTACTCATCTACAAATTGATTGAGTACAAAATTCTGGGTTACTTTTGGTGAAAATAAGGTACCGGGTCTTGGTTCAGGAAGCAATCCCCCATTGGTGCTGCACCTTGGGAGAAGGAATCCACAGCATACATACAGACTGGGGAGTTCCCTTCTTGAAAGCACAGAGGTAGAAAGGGATCTTGGAGTCATTATCGACTCCAAGATGAACATGAGCCGCCAATGCCAGACTGCAGCCAGCAAGGCCAGCCATACCTTGTCAAGCATCCAAAGGTGCATCCCAAGCCAGTCCAGAGAGGTGATACTCCCCCTCTATGCATCTTTGGTCAGGCCGCAGTTGGAGTACTGCGTCCAGTACTGGGCGCCGCACTTTTAAAAGGATGTGACCAGCCTGGAGAGGGTTCAGAGGAGGGCCACCTGCTTGGTAGGAGGGCAGCAGGACACGCCCTACGAGGAGAGACTGAGGGACCCAAACCTGTTCAGCCTCAGCAAGAGGAGGCTGAGGAGAGACCTAGTGGCTGCCTACAAACTCATCAGGGGAGATCAACAGCAAATAGGCAGAGCCCTTTTCTCCCCAGCACCACCTGGGGTGACAAGGAACAATGGTAATAAGCTGATGAAGAATAGGTTTAGGTTAGAGATTAGAAGGCAATATTTTACATTTAGGGTGGCCAAAATCTGGAACCAACTTCCCAGGGAAACGGTCCTCGCCCCTATCTTGGGCAAATTCAAGAGGAGGTTGGATGATCACCTGTCTGGGGTGTTGTGAACCCAGCATTCATTCCTGCCTGTGGCAGGGGGTCAGGCTAGATGATCTGTTCAGGTTCCTCCTGACCCTAGCTACTATGAAACATGAAACTATTTATAACAATGTTCCTACGGGAAAACTGGTTCCGAGTTACGACGTTTCAACTTAAGATGCAGTTTTCAGGAACCAATTTAATTGCAAGTCCAAGGACTGCTAGTATTGTGTTGGGAGTGCATATATTCACATATTTTTTCTGTCACTCAGGTCCTCCAATCTTCTCTAGGATCAGCTGGGAAAGTGCTTAATAGTTAATAGCACTTAATATTTCTTAATAGTTTAAACAATTAAACAAATTTAGAAAACTGAAATAATTTTGAAGTAGTAAAAAATTCTGAATTATTAAAATAATTATTTACGGCATAAAACTATAATCTAAGATTATTATATTTGATAACATATATAAGAGCACAATATTAACCATATGCATATGTAACAGTATATGATTTTTTTTTCAAACAAACTCAAGGGGAGTCATTAACTCTACATGAGACACCATTAAAGTGATTAAAATGTCCTCTTCCACTAGCTACAACATTCTGTTCCTGTGTAAATTACTATAGCATAACACTTTAACATTATTCTGGAATATGCAGTTATTAACCCTTTCCAAGCCTAACTGAATATAGAATTATTGCTTACTAAAGCACTAGATACAATAATCATGCTCAAGTATGGCAGTTATCAAAAACATAGTAATTACCATAAAACTGCGAATATTATGGTGCAAGATCATCAGGTATGTATGTTGTAAAACATTCTGCAATATTTATTCAAAATAAGGTAAAGCAATCTATGGAATGTCTGTGACTAACATAATTATTGTTTATATTGTCTAAAGCATAATTTTTACTTACTACCATAAAACAAAGTAAGGTTGCATAGACAGGCTATTATTTACAACAGAGGCAATTGCATGGCCCTATACTAGAATAATAACGATATTTTGACAACTAAATACTCAACTTTCAGATTTCAGTTGTCACATAAATGCTTACTAGCCTTCACAGGCTGGTAACTTTATTTACAAATTATCATTATAAGAAGCATACAGATTTTAAGAAATAGTTTTTGGATAGCTTTAGTAATTCTGTGGTCCTTACAGCTCTGAGCTGTTGCAAAAATTGCTTGATAGCCCAACTTTCTCCTGTACTTCTGTACTAGCTCCATGGTCCTAATTAAGTAGTACTGATTTTAAAGCAAAAATTCAAATAGTGAACTACAAGGATTCCTCAAGAGACTGACAGTGGGATGCAGATCATTTCATCTTTAGGTTTCTGTTGCAAATTCACTTTGGTCACCTATGATTTTTTGGCCAGCTAAGATTTATTTTCCCTGCTGTGCTCTCTCAAATGAAGTAAAAAGCTTGATAATTTGATTATAGTTAGTACCAGAAATCTGGCTACTGTTCCATTCCCACCCCCTGTAAATAATCAGGATGGAGTAAAAAGAACATTTAGGAGAAGGTAAAAATATTTTCCCTGTGATTTCCAGACCTCTCTCATTTTTACAGCTTTAAAATTTCCTCGAGACTCCTTTACTATGACAGATAACGAGGTTTAGTCTAATTTTTTGAAGTTTTGGAGCCACTCTTGTAAAACTTCTCTCTCACTAGAGACAATTTTATGGTAGGGTAAGAATATAAACTAAGTGCTTTGCATTGAGTGAAACAAATTCTTCAACCTGGCTTTCCAAAAATTATAATAAAAGAAATACCACTCTCTGGGGAATGGGCAGACAAATAGCAGCATGTTCACTTCAATAAGGCATTGCCCTAACAATGGGTGTGATATAAGAAAGGCAGGTGGGGAAATGAAGCAAGGAACTGTTAGCTTCTAGATGTGACTGTTTACAGGTGACAAAGACAAAGTGAAAAAAGGAGAGATGCGTTTTCAATATTGGGGTAGATACTCTGGTCAACTTTACATCGAGAGTCCTGAAATAGATGCCAGCATGACTGAAAGTGGACCCATAGTTTGCCAAGTCCCACTCTTATTGCAAATTTGCTAGCTCAGACTCTCCATTATGCGTGGCATTTTGTTCTGAGCAGCTTTCCTTGTGTCCGGTGAATATGCTGACACACTTATGGGGGGGTGGTCACAAATGGACTCTAACAGGAAGCATGAGGCTCCTGTTACTTTGAGAGAGAAAAACCCCAATACAAACCAGTAGCAGCCAGTGCTCACGCAGCCGAACAAGGGCTGGCTCCAAAAGAAAAGGTGCCCTAGGGGTACATAGCTCTCTGGAGCCCTGCCAGAGGGCAGAGGCTTGATTACAATGGCGGGGGGGGATAAGGTCAGCAAACCTGCAGCCCTAGAGGGGCAGAGACAGGGCTAGAGAGCTCATAGTCCAGAGAGGGGCAGTGCAGCGACTGGGGCCAGAGACTCACAGCCTGGGAAGGGCAGAGATAAGAGCCTGGGATAGGCAAAGCAAGGGTCAATGACCTATAGCCCACGATGGGTAGAAACAGGGCTAGCAAGTCTGCAGCCCAGACAGGGGTGGAGTTTCGGGCCCCGGGGCCCACAGCCTACAAGGGGCAGAGATAAGAGTCTAGGAGGGCAAGATAAGGGCTGGAGCCCAAGAAGACCTGATGCGGTGGGTCTAGGCCAAAGAGACTAGCCAAAGCAGCAGGGGGGTGGAAAAAAAAATTAAAAGTTGAGACGTTGTCTGAGAAGGCCCCAACAAGGGTGCAGAGGTGTGAAGCAGACCAGTGGTTTGGGCCAAAATGTCCAACTAAGTGATGATTAGAAACATCTGTGAAGCATGGGCATGGCTGTAGGGGAAGTTTGCAGGTCGTGATGAGCCCAAAAGGCAAAAGTGTCCTGGGGCACACATATGGGCCAGGAAGGCCAACTAAACAAGAAGACTAGTGAGTCTAATAGGAAGGCTGGCATAGAGCTTGTTCTAGGGCCCTGAGGCTACCTCCCTTTCCAAGCTTTATTAAGAACATCAAGATGTGGCAGGTGACAGTGGAGTGAGAGTACCAAAAGCCAAAGCAGGACAGGAGCTGAGTGACTGCTAGGGTTGTCACCACTGCCTCTGAAACACTGGTCCTGTTACATGGACCCGAAATCTTCCTTTGATGTTTCAGCTCCCTAAAGACACTCTGTGGAGCACAATCAGCTCTTTTCTAAATGAATTCACAAGGGCTGAGCAAGGTTGCTGAAGAATTTTTCTAACCTCTAAGGGTATAACTTTCTTCTCAATAATGTTTAAATACTTGGCTAAACATCTCTCTAAAGGAGGTTCAGATAACTTCTCAACTTATTTTTTAAAAATTATTGTTGTTTGACAACTCATCCATCCCTTATAATTCTATAGTTTTATTTCCTATTAGCTGCGATTTATTTATTATATTCCCCTAAAAATTTCAAAATAAGGATTTGAATTAGCCACAGATTAAGAAAGCCACAGGCCATTAATAAAATATGACTGTTAAGCAAAAACTTAAGACCATGCCTGTAAATAAGAATCAGTCACAGAGATGTATTCTGAAAACATTTTTTCTTTAAATAACAGCAAATGAAATGCACTCTGCTATGAATCTAAACGAAGGGTTGGCATCCTACGGTATGTACTCTGGATCTAGGATGTCAAGCTACTTTTCTGGACTGTGAAGCCAGGATGTTGCCAGCAATTCAGTGGTAGGTAGAACTGATTGCAGCAGCAATTAATTAGGTGGTGGTGGCTGTATCACAAGCAGGAGCTCACCTTTTCACTGAGCTGTTTTACTTGGGCCTGCCAGTCTAAAAGGTTGTAGACCATTGATTCATGAAATCTTGATTCTAGCTTGTACATGTTAAAAAAATATTGGGTCTTGCTTTGAGCAGGAGGCTGGACTAGATGACCTCCTGAGATCCCTTCCAACTCTAATTCTCTATCATTCTAGCTTATTCTTCCTTTTAAAAACCAAGATTGCTCCTCCCATCAGGGCTTCAATACTTTGGCTTCCAGTTTTAGAAAGACCAAGAACAGATGCACACACTTTTTTATTTCGTTATACAATCATTAGCTCTGAAGTATTTAGAAAGGAGCACTGCATTTCATATACATGATTATGAAAATTAAATGCATTCTTACTTACAATTAGCTGTTTTAAGCCTACAAATGACTGTTCTACAGAGTTGGCATTTAAAACTTGTCTCTTCGCTGCAGCTTGTTCCCCAAGAAAGCGGAGCAGTAAGTCTTTTACTGCATCTCCCTGTTGAATGGACGAGGGGAAAATATTCGTATTATAATAACAAGCATTTCAACATTTTTCTAGTAACATAAATGACTAAGGAAAAAAACAAAACTGAGAAAAAAAGTATTCATAACAACAACTTATGCTCCTCCACATGCCTGTTTTCAAGTAATCACTTTTCATGAAGTGAATATAAATCTTGAAGTATATGAGACTTTTAAAGAAAATAGTTAAAAAATAGTTTCACATTATTTTATTTTATTTTTTTAAAACACTTTGAAGTTTTCTAGATAACTTGCACAATATTAGTTCTGGCTTCTTGATTGGTTAATTCAGCCCCTGCGCTACTCAACCTCCAACCAAAGGCCAAACGTGACCTGCAGAGCTATGGTATCTGGCTTGCAGGGCTCCCTAGGGGTTGAGAAATTTGGTGGTGGGGGAGCAGTGACAAGTGATACCACCACCCTCCCCTGCTGTCAAATTCCCACGTTCTGCATAATGGGTTGGGTCTGGGCTGGGCCCCCTTCTCACCACACAGCTGAGACCTCTGTATTCCATGTGGCTGGATCAGGGCCCGGCTGCCCTCCACCCCTTCTCCATACAGCTGGATGGGGCTCTGCTGCACCAGTCCAGGGCACTGGATTGGGACTACTGGCTTGCTCTGGGCTGCAGATAGACTAAAGAATGTCCACCTGGCCCACCAGGGTAAAAGGTTGAGCACCACTGTTAAGCTGTATGTGGTCAGATTTGTTATCTGATACCATTTTGATTCACTGAGAGAGATTACAAGAAACAAGAGGCCTGACGAAGGGGGATGCAATACCAGAAAGCTTGCCTGTCTCTATACCAACATAGAGGGTCCAATAAAAAATATAACCCAGATGACTTACCTTATGTGAGAGTCAGTAAATAATCCAGAAACATGGTTAACAAACACCAGTGTTACTTTTTTGTTTTGTTAAATTAACTTATCTTTTCAAAAGCACAAGAAGAGCTATCAGTTTACACTACAGAGGTTTTCTGGTATAGCTGTTAATATGCTGCTATATGGGTATTTAAACAGGCATGCCTCACTTTTTGCTACTCAGTGAACTGGTCTATTCATATCACAACTCAGAGATTTCACTAATTTTTGGCAAAGGAATTTATTACTGCCATTTACTGATGGTGAACTGAAGAAGAGGGATTAATTACCCAAGGGCACACAGGATATCTAAAGCATAGCAAAGAATTAAAAGCATTTCTCCCAAGGCCCAGTCCAATGCCTTAGCCATCAGACCATTCTTCTGTCTCTCCCAAATTGCACAGTAAGACCCATAAAGTTTTGCTAGACATTTCTTGTAGATAACACTGTACACAAATTAGCAATGAACTGGAGAATGATATTTAATGAATGGCAAGGATTTAAGAAAGAGCAGCCCATGGAAAATAACCTTGGATCTAGAGTCAAGTTGATTCAATGAAGGATACAAGGATAAATTCATGTAGGCCTGTAACTAAGGTTCTCAATCTTAAAAATGGCATATGCTGAGTAATCTACTTAGTGAAATCAACTGAATTAACAAGTTCAAAGATTTTAATGCAGGACTATGAAATTTCTTTAAGTCAAGTACTAATACTACATCAATCAAGAAAGGGGAAAACCTGTAGGAAAAAACTTCAGAACTAACTGGATGAAAAGCCACTCTCAAGATGGGAATTAGAAATAAGGAAAGTACCTACAACAGAACAGAATAGAAATAAAAGGCCTAATAACCAGAGAAAACTATGGCTGAGAGATTTGAAGTGTAGGGATAAAGTGAAAAACTGCAGAATTAGATACTCCAAGGGATATTACTATATTTACTCAAATATAAGACAAGGTTTTCCCCTCAATCAACATGGGCCTGCAGGGCTCCTTATGGGTTGGGAAATTTGCCCCTCATGAATGTATGCCCCTTGGCATGGATCTTATTCAGATGGATTACCACAAGCATAGGTTATTGCATGTTTGGAGGCTAGAAGTGATGCCCCAAATGTACATTGTCCCATTTTACCTGACTGGATAGCCACTTCCAGAATCACACAAGTTGCGGTCAAAAAGTCTTTTGCATCCTGGAATGTACAAACCCTACTAGACAACCCGAACAGTGACAGATGTGAATGCAGAACATCTCTTGTTGCCCAGGAACTCTTGTGATTCAACAAGATATCACTGCTCTCAGCGAGACTAGATGTGCAGACAAAAGCCATCTGAGAGAAGAGGGGGATGACTATGTTTTTCTGGAAAGGGAAACATGTAAATGACAAGCCAATACATGGCCTTGCTTTCAGCATTAAGAACCAGATTGTCAGCTAAATGACTGAATTCCCCATTGGTATTAACGAGTCCTCATGACTCTCCGCCTCCAACTCGACCAACAACTTTGCTACCATCAGCAGTGCATACGCCCCAACACTCAACGCCGAGGAAGAAAAGAAAGAACAGTTTCATGCTGACCTTGATGAAATCCTGACTACCATCCCGAAAGAGCACAAGATCATCCTCCTTAGAGATTTCAATGTCAGAGTTGGCTGGAATTTTAACACGTGGAGTGGCACCACTAAGAAGAAGATTGGGCAAGGCCAATTCCAGTGGCATGCTCTTACTCATTAAATGTGCAGAGCATGACCCTGTCATTTCTAAAACTATCTGCAGAAAATAAGACAGATACAAAACAATGTGGAAACATCACTGCTCAAAACAAATGGCACCTCCTCAACTATGTCATCGTAAGAGCATGTGGTCTTGCGTTCATATCACACACATTATGAGAAAAGCTGATGATCGGTGGACCGATCATTGCTTAGTGAGATCATCATGTCCAGAGTTCTGCTAACACATCAAAGCAACCCAAATCAGTCCACAGACAGTACAACATCAAATGCCTTCAGACCTCTAGATACAAAGCTCCTACAGTATAAGGCTGTGGTGATACCAATTTTTCTCTATGGCTGTGAAGCTTGGATGACCAACAGGGACCACATGAAAAGTCTGGAATGCCATCACCAGCGCTACTTCTGGAAGAGCCTTTGCATTAAGTGGGAAGATTGTCACACAATTGCCAGTATCCTCACCGACACTGACACCACCAATATGGAAACACTGATTATTCAACATTAGCTGCGGTGGACAGGTCAGTGGGTATACATGCCTGATGTACATTTACCATAACAACTGTTATACTCCTACCTCAGCCAAGGACAAAGGACATGTGGGGCTCAGAGAAAACACTTCAAGGGCAGCCTCAAGGCAAACATTAAGTGTGGCACTGACATGACAAACGAGGAAAAACTAGCCTGGAACAGGGCTACATGGTGACACCTTGGGAGAGAAGGTACATCTTACTTTGAGGAAAGCTATCTTTCCCTGGAGACAGGACAAAGAAATAGAAACAGAGGACAGGAAACAAGACTGAGAAATCCACTGTCCAACCCTCCCTTCAACCATCACCTGTTGCATTTTCCAGAGTCTGTGGCTCTAGTATTGGTCACCTTAGCCATCAGACTCATCCACAACCCTTTACTTGACCCATGGTAGTGAGCATCCTTGACCATGAGGGATCACTGCTGCTGCCACCAACACCAAATTGTGTCTGTAGGGACAGAGGAGGACTCTTACAAGGGCACCCAGGGACACCCTAGATCCTAAGCGTTGTTGGCCGAATGGTTCTGGTGTTGGACTGCAGAGACTGGGGGGCACAAGGCCACCGCCTACAGAGGGCAAGACCGGGGGAAGAACAACCCAGAGTCCAACAGGGGTGAGGCACAGCAAATACTGGGATACAAGTCCAGAATTCGTGAGGACAAGACCAGGGGCTGAGTAGACCAGTGCCCACAAGGGCTAAAGCAGAGTGCAGGAGCAGAGAGCCACCAGGGCATGGACAGAGCTGGGGCGTGGGAGCTTGTGGTCCTGGGACAGTGAACCTAGGTTGAACACTTTATCCAGAGTAAAGTGGGACAAGGCCAGGGAGACCTTAACCCAGACAAGGACTCACTATCCAAAACCCTTTTTGCCCTCTATGGGTAGCCTCCCTGTCAATTTATACGAGTGTTAAGGCAATGATTTTGGCTGGAGTGCCAAAAACCCCGCAATATCTACTCTATAAGGTGCCGCAGTGCCAGCATACCAGAAGCGGGTACATGGCAGGATGCGCTGCATATTAATATAGTTAATTATAATAAATGTTGCTTTTTTCAGCAAATACCAGGTTTTCTAAAAATTCTAAACCTGGTGACATTATATAAAACGTCATATACTACCTCTGTTCTTGTGTCTTTTTTTCGATAAGTATGTTGTGATGAAAGAGAGAAAAAGGATGACAGAAAAAAGGAACGAGGAAAAACCAAAAGGAGAAAAAAGAAGAAAAAAGAAAAAGGAAAAGAGAAGGGAAAAAAGAGGAGACAAAAAAGAGAAGGGAAGGAAAAAGAGAAAGAGGGGGCTCCTTGCTGTCCACATTTCCCACCGCTACTGGCTGCAGCTCATGCCTGCTGGTCCAGGGAAGTGTCCAACAGAGGGAGGTAGCAACACCTCAGCAGCAACCACCAGGGTCGGAGCATCCAGGCCTCCATGATGATCCCGGAGTGGGGGGAGCCTAGGTCCAGGGCTGGGAGGGAGAGCCAGGCTGGGGCTCGGGCAGACAGATACCCTGCCCCACCCGGGTAGGGGCAGCACCAGGGCACTGAGCACTGGGGCAGAGTTCAAGTGGCAGGGATC